GTAATGATGTTTGAATAGAAGGGAAACAACGCCTCTGTAGCCACAAAGAATATCAAAGAAGTTTATGGAAATGTTTTTGGACGTTCATATGTCTCAACGATTGGTTCAGCAAATTTTGTTCAGGTGATTTTAGCCTTAAAAACTGTGATGGCAGGGGCCGACATTTTGGAATTGATATTGATGTTCTGAAGACGCTTGTTGAGTCTAACCCAATGCAATGCACTCGTGAAATGACCCTGAAATTGTATGTCTTTCATGAAATAATACGTAAACATCTAAGGAATATGTGAAAACTCCATGAAGAAGGTGTTTGGGTGCCTCACGAACTCTCCAATGATCATCGTTTCCAACGTGTAAACCAAAAGGTCCTAAGTCTCTGTTCAAAATCATTTACTAAAAGCTTACCAAGTATTCAGAAGAGACGCGTGATAATTACAGTAAAATTACGTAGAAGTTGCCATTACTCATAACATGTTCTGTACATACGGGCAGTAAAGTAGAAAAGGAAAAAAAGTGGTATTCATGGCTGCATCTGTTCCCAAGGCCCCAAGATTTCAAATGACTATTTAATCTAAAATGTGTATGGTCAAAAGGAGTATGTCACGATTTTTTACAGAATTACATTTCATATTTAATTAAACAACTTTATTATTAATGTAGATCAATAAACTTGGCATCAATACATATTTTATAATTCAACTTTTAATATAATTTTAATTTCTTAGTTTCAAAAGGAAATGTTTAAATAATTCTCAATCATCAGTTCTCTGCATCCGGTAACACTTCTTCCCTTAATTACCCACTTTAAATGTTCTTGCTATTCCTATATTATCTTCTAAATTTCTCACAAATAACACACTTACAGTATATTCATGATGTCAGAAAAACACGCAGGCTCAGGAAGTTTTAATATAAAATGATTGTTATTCCTTTGAAGTTATACACAAAGCTACACAAAGGTCTATCTGTGCTCTGCTTACCACTGGTAATGAAACCCGGTTTCTAGCGTTATAAAATGATAAAAAAAAACTATAACCGAACGCTTTTGAAAAGTGGATCTTTCTTCTTCAGAGGTAAACTGGGAATGGTGGTGTTTGTTCGTTCGTTCATTTAGCATGGTAGGAATTTAGGTTAAAAGTATATTTAATTCCCCGAAGGGGAATGAAATATAACCAGGGGCGGCCAGAAACTTCTGTTTCTCTTCACCCCACTACATAATTAGAATTAAGTGGCCGAGGCTTTTAAGAATTGAATGCTTACATAAGTGAAGGTCTTAACAGATAATTTTCCTAGTGACGAGTTCACAAGCTGAGGGAAGAGCTGCGAGGAGACG